CTCCTTGCGGTGGAAGTTTCTGTGGCAGTTGCAGGCGGCGCATTTCAGCGCGTCCAGAGTTCCCTCCGTCCCCGCCGCCATGAACTCGCCGCAGCCGTCGAGGGCATGGCCGCCGATCCCGACGGCGTGATTCTTCAGACACTCTCTGTACCTCGCCTTTCCGGCGCCGGCGCCGTTGCTGGTGCTCCTGACCGGCGTCGCCGCCATAACCTCCGCCCCACCTGGCATCTTCATCCGAGTCGGGTTGGGCAGCGAGTCGTAACTGGCTCCACCTGCCATACAAAGCTCTTCCTCTTGCTCCTCCGGATCCTCGAATTCCATTTGGCGAAATCCTGAAGTTTGGAGACTAGGGAATGTTTTGGGTTATGAGAAGAGGAGAAGAAGAAGAAGAGGAAGAGGGTTGGCACTTGTGAGTTGTGACTTTGCACTTTGCACTTTGAACTAGTCTATCAGTGTTTCTCTCTCTTTCTTCTCTTGTGTTCGTGCTTTCTTTGTCGAAAGGTATTGGTTGATATACTTTTGCGGTTCTTTGTTTTCTGAGGACGCGACAATTAGAGCACATACAAATACTCAATACAACTCTCTCGATTTGTCTTAAGATCGTCACCTTCCACCGGCTATGTCCGGTCACTCCGTCATTTCTTCGTTTTTTCTTTTTCACCGCTCGCACATGAATGCATACGCAAAATTAACCGTGGAAAGTTTTCACTTTCGGTGCCAGTAGTGCCAGTACTCTCTACTCTGCCTCAGGCCATCACCAATCACAAAATAGATAAATAATATAATTAAATTTAAATGTTATAAGGGTAATATTAAACATATAAAACATTACTTTAAAAGTGCTTACATTAAAACTCAAAGTTTATAAACTATTTAAAAACTTCAATTATAAACTAGGCATGAAAAATTAAAATCTTATAAATTAGCTTATTCAGTTAAAGCATAGCTTATAAATTTGTTAAAAGTTTATAAACTAGTTAAAAACTTCAATTATAAACTAGGGTGGGTTGAAAAATTAAAATCTTATAAATTAGCTTATTGAGTTAAAGTATTTTGTAAGATTGGTTTATTGATGTAAAATGATGCTATCTCAATTACATACTCAACTTAGAATAATTAATTGTTTCAATATATAAGTATCAATTTATATTGTCTATTATATTAATTATTTTTAGATTAAAATATTTTTTATGTAATTTTTTAATTTTTTAAATATATTAATTATATACTCTTTAAAGGACATCTACTTTAATTGGTTAGAAAAAATGTTAGAATTAATTAGGAGTGATAAATAGTGTAAGATATGCATTAAAATTGGAAAGGATTATATACCGGGTGGAACTCAGAATCACGTGTTATCCACGTGTCACATCCAATCAATAGTCTTGGCCACCTAGGCCAAAGCACAAAACAACGGAGGAATCAGGTTCTATCTCTGGTGACCTCGATGGCTAAGGACTGGGGTAATGTCCCTCGATCACTTCAGTCATCGAAGATGAAAATGATGAATTCACAAAATAAACATTGGAGTAATGATCTAGTTTTCAACCATCTCGACACCTGAATCCTAGTCATTAGGCACAACACATCCCCTTTTTCCTTCAAACAGCCTCGACTCCATGACCTAGACAATCCTAAAGGTCTCGACATGATCAACAGTTGATCAGGTTGAGATCAAAGGAACATTCCGATCCTGGGGGTGGACAATCAAGCCAAAACATCATAAATTAAAGAGTAATCAAACGAATTATGATCGACAGTAAACATAATCAGGATTAGGCGATAATCCGCCATTACCAGCCAAATTACCTAATTGCAACAAGGTCAAAAGATCCAAGCCCACTACGATAAGTATAAATAGTCGCATAAAACGAGGTAAAACTATTGTTCATTTATTATTACTATCGATATTTGTGCTTTTATTATGACTTGAACATTCAAGTGTCTTTTACAGGTATCCCATCTTATCTCTTGACTCAGACCACTCATTCAGCCTCAAAATCCTAATTAACTAAGTGAAGATTACTAGTATGTCCTTAAATAGGTATAGTATATAATTATTAATTAGGAAAGATAAATAATATAATAGTAGTTTTAGAGTAATTAAAATAATATATATAATTTAAAAAGTGATTAATTTAATTGATAAATAAATTTTTGCATATATATATATAAGTTTTTTAAATTAAATATGATAAAAAAATATATTAAATTAATGAGAATAAAAAAATTAAAAAATTATAAATTTAAAACTACTTCAATTAGTTTATAAGCTCATATGCCAAATAAACTTATTTTGTTCAAGTTAGCTTATAAGTTCTTTAAATGAACTTATAAAGTCATCAAACATCCTTGAAATATACTTTAAGCAAATAATGAAAAATATAAATTATATTTAATTACTCTTTTAATCTTTATAGTTTCATGAATTTAACATTTTAATCTATATAATTAAAATATTAAATTTTAATCTATATTCATACATTTTTTTAGTTTTTGTAAAAAATAAATTTCATGCTTTTGTTTCTATATAAGTTAATCTTTTAATTTTGGCTAAAATACTTTTTTTTTTTAACTTTTATATAGTTTCATTTTCTTTATTTTTTAGTTGTTATAATTTAAAATACATTTTTTTAACCCCTATATTTAACTCATACAATCTTTTTTAGTTTTTGTAGTTTAAGATAAAATTTTTAGTTTTTATACTTGCAATTTTTTAGTTATTTTATTTATATTGCTATTTTATTTTTGTAACATTATTTGTTTTGTATTAATGTAATAAAGATCTTTAATTTTGTAAGGATAAAAAAAATGTCTTGAGAATAGATATTGTAAGTAAAGTATAAAGACACAACGTGTCGAGAAATATAATTTAAAATAATTCTAATAAAATAAATTTGAAATAAAATATCTAAAATTAAATTAATATTTATGTCACATAGATGTTAAAGAAATAACTACAAAAAGAATTAATAACAATGACTAAAAAAATTAAAAATTATATATATAAAGACTAAAAATATATATTTCATTATAAACTATAAAGATTACAAAAAATTGAAAAAATAATAAATATAAAAATTATAAAATTTATTTTAAGTTATAAGAACTAAAAAATAAAATTATAAAAAAATATTTTAACTCTTGACTTTTGTAATAATAGTCAACAATGATGGAAAGGATTAAGAACCGAGTTAAAATGTTCTTTTACTAAAGAAATTGAAAGTTAAAATTTGTTAAATTATAAGGATAAACAAATAGTTAAACTTAAATTTTGCTTTTCAACATGTGCGGTAAAAAGTACTGCACATCATTAAAATATCCTTTAACTTTTGTACTTTGTTAGATGTAAGTTGTACAATATGCACTGTATCAAACTGATTGAATTAAAAAAAAAAAAAAAAAGTTGATCTATATTTAAAAAAAAATATTTTTTATAAAGTGAATTTGATTCGAATTGAATTTTTCAAAAAAAATTAATTCATGAAAACTCTTACATTCATCTCATCTGTCGGGTAAATTAACAGCACAAATATCATCGGTGGTATTCTATGAGATCGCATCAATTATTTTCGAATTTAATGTTCATCCGCTCTCTAAGAGCACCTCCAGCGGCATGTTCTTAGTGTGTTGCTTACTGACAAGCAACGGTGCTTGTTAGAAATTGTCATTGGACTTATCCTACGTGGCAACTCAGTTGCTTAAATTTTTTTCTCAGTTGCTTGTACAAGGAATGGTGCTTAGCACTGAAAATTTTGAAGAAGAGGAGTTTGATTGGTTGAAACTGATCCAGGTGGAATATGGACAGAAACTTGGTAAATCAAAAAAACAGGAAAAACATCCTTCACCTCTTCTTCCTCCATCCGGCCGGTGCGCGGATCCGTCCGGCCAGACCCCTCCGCCCCGCGCACGCAGCTTCGCACAACCAGACCCGCCGGCCCGCGTGAACCGCCCGGTCAAACCCCTCCGCCCAGCGCACCAGGACTCCCGGCCCGTACGCCCCTCCGCGCGTGACCCCCTCCACACGGTTGTCCCTTCCGCGCGCGACCCCTCTGCACCTAGACTCCTGTGCACAACAAAACCCCCCGTGAAGAGAGAGTGAAGAAAGACCGAAGAGAAAGAAAGAGTGATTGGAAGAAAACGTGAGTGAGAGTCTGAGAGATGTGATTTTTTTTATTTTTTTTATTTTTTTTATGTATTATGTATTTTTTTTATATTTTTTATGTATTATGTAATTTTTTATATTTTTTTTATATCATGTAATTTTTTTTATTATTATAATTTTTGGTATTTTTTTATTATGTATTTTTTTATTATAATTTTTTGTATTTTTTTATTATGTATTTTTTTTATTATTGATATTTTTTATTATTATAATTTTAAATTTGTTAGTTATTTATATTTATATATTATTCATAATAATTAATTTTATAAAATTTTATCATAAAGTGTAGTGTGAGGTGTCAAAAAAGTGTAGTATGAGTTGTAAAAAGTAGGAGTGTTTATAAGCAATTCTCATTGGAGCAAAAATTGTAAAAATGTAATATGAGTTGCTTATGAGTGACGTGGCACAGTGGGACCCATTTAAAGTGGTTGGGAGTTGCTTATAAGCAACTCCCATTATAGATGCTCTAAGAATTCTGTCACGATCGTCATCATTTTGTCAACAATATTGTTCATCTGTTAGTATATGCGTCGATTTTTATCTAATAATTTTCAAAAAATCTAAATTGATACAAATCAATCCGATCCATATTAAAAAATCTTATCTATTTTTAAAAAAAATATGAACTAATTAATTTTATAAAATCAGTTGAATTATCGATCCATTTTTCCAATGTTATATATATATATATTACATAATAATATAGGTAAAAGATTATGCAAGTAACAAAAATAGGATACAGAACAAAATCATGCCACGCGTTTCACCAAATGGCATGACAAACACTGAAACTGAAATCCTGCGGGTTAATTTTAAGGCATTCCAGAGGGCACGCATTCCGGTGCCCGAAAGGAAATGACGTTGTATGGGCCCACTCAAGGAGGCGCGTGGATTGAACAGAGTCTAAATAAAAGAGATTTTTTTTAATTATGTTTATTGAGTTAAAATTTAAATTATAATAATAAATAAATCAATTTTACCTCTTTCGATAAATTTTCTTAACAACTTATCCATTTATCAATTTAATTATGTTGCTCTTATTGGTGGGGATTTCTGTTCGTTCCCACATAGTAGGGAGGGGCCGATGAATTGTGCGTGTTGCTAATGTTATAGCTGTAGATTTGTAGGAGTGCTTTTCAGAGAAAAAGAAGAACAACAATTGTACTATTTCACACATTTGGATAACATTTCTATTTTTTTTTATTTCTCTGATTATTATATTATATTAATTGTCAAATCTTTTACTTTTTTAATCTTTTCTTTCTTATGCTTCTAAGACTAAAAATTAAAGTCTAGATGTATGAATTTTTCAAAGAACAAATAGAATGAGTAGGGTAGTACTGGTATGAGTGATGGGCGTAGGTGAGGAAGAGAGAGACAT